TGTTACTTGAGATTGATCTTACAATATCGCTTCACAATATAAAAGAGTTATGTTCATTCAAGTTTTCATCCTCTAACAAAATCTTTATTATGTCGCAGACATATTATACTAGGAAAATAAATGTATTCCCACTAAATCTGTAATTCATAATTATTATTCTTATTACCTTCCGATATTACATGTGATAATATCACCATGTAATGAATATTATGAAAACACAGATAAAAAATTCTTCATTGAGATCACAGATGAATATAAACCTTTTGAAACTTTGTGTTACTAGATAAAAAGTCTAAAAAATATACAAGATTATTGATTTCATAAATTATACAATTAAGAAACCAATTTTTATATTCATCTAACACAACTCAAAAAAGTTATAAATATTGTCATTTACTTGAAAGAACTTTTCAAGAAGCCACTTAAGAATTGAAACCAGAACAACTAGATGAGTCTTATATTTGTTAACATTGTCTTTTAAAAGCAATATAACAAAATGTAAAATATCTTTGTTGTGTGTTGTTTCAACACATTCTTTGTGACATTCATTTTTCCTTTTAAGAGATAAGATTTTGTTTGACGGTAGAGAATATATTTTTTTTTATCAAACTTAAATCTTTATAATCATATTTCTCATATCTCTTCTACTTACTTTAATGACAGTTTTGATGATGTTGAGTTTGTTTTACTAAAATGAGGAGAATTTTTATTCTTTACTAATATTGTTATAAAGAGAAATAATTAAATTTATCTTAAATACAACATTCTTTACTTTATCTCCCCCCAAACTCAACGTCCTTAAGAAACTTTAAGATCTCATCCACATCAACTTTAAGCGGGAACTAACTTTAGAAATTATATATATTGAAAGACTACTGAATATAGAGTGACAACTAAAAACCTTAAGTCCAAGTCTCGCAAAATCTTGAATTGCAAGTGATTTTAGTTGTTTCTTTATTTGGTACATCACTTAAACTTTTTTATAACAATCTTGAGTGTTTTCTCCAAATAGACTTAGGGTAAGGAAAAATGATTTGTTATATTTCTTACCACACCTTTTAAATTTTGAATCATTTTATAGGCAACATACATCTCAGGTTTGCTTGAAAATATATATTACTTATTAACTTTATAAATCCTTAAAGGAGTTAGCAAAAGTGCTAAACCTTACCTTCTCAATCCATCATATTTCATAATGATGTCATTCACTATGAATTGATAGATGATGACTTTTAAGATATACAGAAATGAAGACCTTTCCTATATCAAATATCAGTGCCTTTAACGAGAGTAAAATTCTTATAACTGTATGCAATGTTGTTAAACATTTAAAGAAGCCATATTGAATAAGCTACAAATTAATGTTCTAAAATACTAAAGCTCTCAATAGCACCTAATTTGACAATTCCAGGTATGGCCCCTTGATCATTTCTAATACAGATTTGAATGTCTATTTAATCTTGAGAACCAATAAGCAATGAATAGAAATACCAAAGTCTATTCAACACAGAAGATAAGCTTTCATATGCAAGTCTAGCTTATTAAATACCAAAGTGAGAAGCCATATTTCCTTTATACTTTATGTGGCGATGTATTTGGAACATGCTTTTTTCTATATGTTAAAATTTCCTAAAAAAAATATCAAAAGAATTTTTAAGCTGGATTCTTTTGTGGTTTAGGCGAACATATGTTCCAAATAAACGTTAGTACCAACTTTAATTTCTTTCTTTAAGGAAATAAACCATTAATGAGTACCATTTGTATTTTCTTACTTAACTCATTTTCCTAAAAAACATGCGGTCGGAAATTAGGTTATTAAGAGTTCAATATCTACCTTTATAAGTATTATAACCCACTACATACCTACTGTATAACGTCTCAAATGGTATCAAATCCACAAGTAAATCCTTGAATATTTTAAATTTTGTGCATTGGATCATTTAGTGTACTCACTAGCGTTCATTTATTCTTTATTAAGAAATAGTCAACAAAAATTTAAAGTCTATTCATTTTGTAATTTTCAAAACAATCCTTAAGGAACTTTCCTAATTATTCCTCATTAAACATAATCCTCTTAAATGTTGCAAAACATTGTCATAATATTTATGTAATTAAGGTTACTACTACTTTTCAAGATCCCAATTAAACCTTAGAGGGATATTGATTTGCAAAAGTTGAAGCGTTTTCTTTCTTTATCAAAAATTCATGCAAATTTGAATAAAAAGTATTCTTAAATACACAATAAGGCAATTAAATAATATTTAACAATAACTAATTCAATAATAAAACATGCTCGAAATTAACCTTAAATATTTATAAAAATACTTTATAATTAAACTCAATGAGGATAACAAGATACCTAACACAACATTGATATCCTTCCTTTAGGTCGACAATATCAACTTGCAAGTGGTACTCTCAATGTGGTGATTAAACATTGATAACCAATCCTATCAAGTGAAAACCTTCCTTTGGGCCGACAATCACTCACATAACATAACTTTATATTATCCATGTTTATCACCATCTAACTATTGTGAACCTGTTATTTGGCCAAATTGAAGTCTTCCTTTGGGCCAACCACAGAGCGCATAAACACACAGACCCACAAACATCTGATAATTTTGAAAGATATCAATATAAAAAATCAGAGACTACTTTGGCAACATGATTCATCAAATTAACACCAACCAAAAGGATCAGACAATTATACAACATATGTAACTTTAATTATTATTAATTTTATCTTTATGAAAATAATACTACCAAAATTATTTTCAAAATTAATAATAATATCTTTATATTCATAATTTAGTAATGGGAAAAGTCCTCTAAACAATTTACTAAATCCGGAAAGAAAAATAAAAACTGGATTTTCCTAAAAGAAATATTATTGATATTTTAACTCATCAACAATTCAACATAGGCTATGTAGCACTAATTGTAGCACGCAATAATCTAATATCAATAATAAATTCTATAATTGTGAGTGTATTTGTTATTTGGTCAAATTGTGACCTTCCTTTGGGCCGATCACAATTCGCATAAACAACAACAATACTCAAATCTCACAAAATTATTACTTAATTATTCTTAATTGTTTCCATATGAAGATAAAATACCTTAAGTTATTTTCAACCATTAACAATAATATTTTCATGCATCACAACATACATAGGAATTTAATAATTGTGTCAAATATTGATAAATTGTTAATTTATTCACCATAATCAACAATATTTAATTAGCACAACATAAAAGGAAAATTAAACCCACCTCCATATTTAAATTCGCCCAAAATATTCACAACAGAATAGTAACTCAATAAACAATTATTAAAATAATACATACATATATATATATAATAAAATTAGTGCTAGGGAATTAGCCCTAGAACCATATGTGCAAGCGGTGGAGTGCCACAACCTTCTCATGGCACAGTGCCTTTAGCTATTTTTTTTTAATTGGAACATTATGATTCATATATTCGTATATTTGAAAACTAAATACATATTAAACTTATCAAAATATTCATGTACAGATATTTGAACAATTTTAGACAATTAAGGATTCTAAATCATGCAAAATTGTTCAACATCTTATCAATCCAAATAATTGCAACATAAATAACATGTCAAGTAATTCACCAAGATCCAGTAATCATCCATGCTAAGTAACGTATATTCATCTACTAACTAAATAGAAGCAACTTTATCATCAGAAAATTAGCATTTACAGTGATGGTCCACAACCCCCTTAACGTTTTTAGCTACTCAACGCCGTAACAAGGAGAAGGAAAAGAGGAAATACAAAGTTCATCAACAAAGGAGTACAAGAGAAGAAAGAAGAAAGAAAAACAATTAAAAACTCCTCCTCCTTCAGGTCTTTCTCCAAGTACTCCATAAATCTCTCTCTCACTTGCTTTTTTTTTTCTTTTTTACGTAGCCTGTACATTTGATTAAAAAGGTAACACATTTTAAATAATAATTATTTAAAAATTATTAACTCTTCAACACAAACGGACCAAAATAATTAAACTCATTCATTGTATAAAATAAAAACAGAGTTTGATAATACTATGAATTTAAAGAGATGAACTTGTTAGATTGTATCACGGGTGTTTAGTTTTTAATTTAAAATAAAAAAGTTTAGATTATTTATATATATGGGATTAAAAATGTAATAATATTTATTTAGTAACTAATATTTTAAGTACTAAAAATATAGTATGAATAATTTATTTTTAATAGAATAATTGATCTAAATTCTTTTTGAATAATTATTGTGTAGTTTTGTTATTGATTTTTTAAAATATTTTTCCAAGTGTGACTGCAGGATGTAATCCTATCATCATAATTCCTCTAAAACATGAAGTTTATAACCGAACTAAATTACCATTATGGTTGCAACCGATCAAATTAACTTGATTTAGCTAATTTCTTCATCTTCGATTTTAGCTTTCACTCGTAAAGTTTACCATTAAAATTTTTTTATTGATATATGAATTAATAATTTACTTATTTATTATTAAAATTATAATTAATTAATTTATTATTCCGCTCATATATTTTATTAAAAATTTAACGCATTTTAGAAAAGAAACGAAAGACAAAATATTCAATATAGCCCGTCAAAAGAAAAACGATAAAATACTTAGCAACTTGGCATAGGGATAAAGTACTGTAGTATAGTGAGAGCACGAATGATATTTACTGTAACAACCTACTTGAGGATAGAATAATGTTTACTATAGGAAACCTAGATTTTGCTTTATATTTTAAACTATGGAATAAATATGAGTTTGACTCAACAAATCCTAGTCCCATTTTGAAAATAGGAACCAAAAACAGCGTAAATAATTACTTGTGAACGGTTGAAAATTCCAACATCTTGGCGTGTTTGATTTGATTAGGTTTGTCGTGGCAATTTTCTCGTAATATTTCGTGTTTGATTTGAATAGTTTTGTCAATGGCAATTAATTATAAAGGTGTGATAACTAGAGAAGAGAAGAAGAAGAAATTCATATTCCACGCGATCGAGATTCGAGAGAGAAGCATTTGAATATGGATTTGTTTTGGATCTTCTTCCTTCTACTTTGCTTAGCATGGTTTTCCTTTTCAATCTTAACCCTTAATTTCAGCGCCGCCATTTCCAAGCTACCTCCCGGACCCAGACCCTTGCCGGTCATCGGAAACCTTCTGGATCTCGGCGACAAGCCCCACAGGTCTCTGGCCAATCTGGCCAAATCTCACGGCCCCATTATGACCTTGAAACTCGGCCACGTCACCACCGTCGTAGTCTCCTCCGCCGCCATGGCCAAGGAAGTTCTCCAAACCCACGACCAGTTTCTGTCCTGCAGAACGGTTCCGGACTCAATGACCACCCACAACCACCAAGTTTTGGGCCTCCCGTGGATTCCGGTTTCGCCCCTCTGGCGAAAACTCCGACGAATTTGCAATACCCAGCTGTTCGCCGGACGGATTTTGGACGGCAACCAGAATCTCCGGCGAGCCAAAGTGGCGGACCTCGTTTCGGAAATTACCATACGTGCTTCCAAAGGTGATGTTAAGCTAAAATATATGGAATCTATTTTTTAAGTTTTTCGCAATTTGATCCTTAATATTTTAAAATTCTCGACTTTAGTTTATATTAAAAAATCTATTAATTTTCTTAATAGAAAGTGAAGTTGTGTTATGAAAATTGTTTTATTAATATATTTACTTAATGCATTTTGCAAAAGAAAAAAAAAACTAACGATAAAACTTACACCAATTGCAAGTCATAAGACAAGATTTAGAATCTTTTTAAACTGTTATTGAATTAATTTTTTCTTTCACTTTTCGTGACAGGATGCCATAAATTTATGAACTTTGGGAAGCCACTGTTTTTTCTGGCTAAAATCACACCTCCTGCGATTTATGACAATTTTTTTACTCAACATTTTTTACTGTTCATAACACGGTGGGGCAAGACAAAAGGTCTTCAAAAGAAGGCGTCGTTCCCGACCCACCAAGCCAAACTAATGGCCTACTTGTTTTCGGATTGGGTTTAAAGCAAAAAAGTCTACCCTTAAAGTTTTCATCGACAGCAATCTAAAAAGTAGTTGGTAAAATGCATCTATCAACGACAGACGTTGATAGCATATCATAAACTTATAAGTGATAGATAGTAATACACTACCCAACCTGCCAACTTGAGCATCAACCAGTTAAAATTGTAAATAGGACTTTTTTTAGAGGTGGGTGGTCGGACTTTCTTTGTTTTTTTTTTTTCCTTTCTTGAGTACAACCTGCAGTCTGATCACTCACCTTACAAAAAAGTAGTATTTACAATTTTCCTTGTATTATTGAGTTACTGTAAATAAGGTTTTAAACGTTAATGTCAATGGAAATATTAAAGTTTCAAGTTTTTAGAAAGGTTGTCATCGATGTTGATGGATATTTATAAAAATAAAAAAATATTTAAATTAACAAATATCCATGGATCTTAACCTTTTCTAAATCAAGTTAAAAATCTTCTTATCTTTTTTGCATTATTTGTCAAACAAATGTGAACATGTTGACGAATATCTAATACGTGACTGTAAATAATATGAACACAGGTGAGATGGTGGATTTTGGGAAGGTAGCATTCATGACATCGCTGAATCTGCTTTCGAACACAATTTTCTCGGCGGATTTTTTGGACCCAAATTCTGAAATTGGGAAAGAGTTCAAGGAAGTAGTGAGAGGGATTGTGAAAGAAGGTGCGAGGCCAAATTTGGGGGATTATTTTCCTCTACTGAAGAAGCTAGATCTTCAAGGCATAAAGAGGAGACAAACGATGAATTTCGACAAGGTTTTTAATGTGTTGGAGCAGATGATGGACCAGCGGCTACATCAGCAGCAGGCGTCTGCTTCTGCTTCTGCGCCCAACAACAACGATTTGTTGCACTACCTTCTCAACCTCACCCACCAAAATAGCGACATGAAAATTGACAAAATACAAATCCAACACTTAATATTGGTGAATACTCACTTCACCCTTTTAAATAACTTCTCTTTAATATTCCAATTTACTCTGCTTAACTTTTTTTATGGACTTAATGATAGTTTATAGTATCATGGTAAAACGTTTTTGCTGTCATTCTCACTCAATTCTAGATTAAAAAGTTTTTGCTGTCATTCTCACTCAATTCTAGATTGATAAGCAGATATTTGGATAGTAACACTGCTTAAGCTTTCCCTCTTTTGCTTATTAAAAATTTGACAATTATTTTTTTTTAAATCTTAATTAAAATACTTTTTTGGTCCCGTAGTTTCAAATTAGATTTATTTTGGTCCACGTACTAAGTGTTCATTCAAGTCTTTACCGTTAGTAAGATAACAAATTGATAATTAAAAATTAGGTATTTCTTGTTTTTTTTCTATCTATGTTTATGGGTTTCCATATGTGGGATCTTTTAGATGCCCCTCGAGATAGACGAAATTTGTTCCCCTCTGGAATCATATCAATATTTATAGTTATATCTCAAAACCAATGGATAAATACTGGATTCTTTAACAATGAGGAGAAACTTTATCCTCTTCACTATTAAATATTTGACAACTCATTATTACTTTTAAAAAGTCTATGTTTTTTGCATTTTTCCCTCTTAATTGTCTATTTAGTGGTGACGAGGACAAGGTTTCTTTGAGGAGCCAAGTATTCTCGACTTTATTAGGTTTTGTATTAATTTTCAAAACTTCAAAGCTAGAAGAAATAATCAAACTCATCGACTGAATATCCTAAAAGAAAATTGGTTTTTATGTTGATGTATTTGAATTAGGTTCTATTCGTTGCTGGGACTGATACAAGTTCTGCCACACTGCAATGGGCAATGGCAGAACTCCTAAGAAACCCAGAAAAGTTATCCAAAGTTCAAGAAGAAACCAGGCGGGTGATTGGAATAGGGAACCCCATCGAAGAGTCAGACATTTCGAGGCTGCCTTATCTACAAGCAATCGTGAAGGAAACTTTCAGATTGCACGCACCAGCTCCTTTTCTACTGCCCCGTAAAGCGCTACAAGACGTGGAAATTGGAGGGTTCACAATCCCAAAGGGCGCACAGGTGCTGGTAAACGCGTGGGCTATGGGCAGAGATTGGGAAAACCCAGAGTCGTTCGAGCCAGAGAGGTTTATGGGGTCTGAAATGGACGTCAGAGGCCGAGATTTTGAGCTGATTCCGTTCGGTGGTGGGCGGAGGATTTGCCCTGGTTTGCCATTGGCGATGAGAATGCTGCATTTGATGTTGGGTTCGCTGGTCCACTTGTTTGATTGGAAGCTTGAGGATGGATGTGGACCTGAAGATGTGAACATGGAGGAGGAGTTTGGCATCACTGTGGAGATGGCTTTTCCCTTGAGAGCATTGCCTCTGATCATCCCCTAATTACAATGAACAAAAGAAACTTTGTATTTTTATTGCATTTATGAAGTTAAAATGTGATGCACCCATCGACCATGATATAAGAATGAGTTGAGGTGCTTTCTTAGTTTAATTTTAGAAAAATAATTAGGTCCTAAGAAAAATAATTAGGTCCTAACTAAGGAAGATGTATGTTTATGCTCGATCATTGAATATTTGACAATTAAAAGAGAGAAATGCAAAAATAACCCAGTGGACATTTCTTCAATCCAATTTTTTAGAAAGGTGGCAAGAGTTTTTAGAATATAGGTTGCTAAGGCGTAGACAGGTTAACTACAAGTTCATCCTTCAGATAAGAATGAAGCTTTCAACAACTTTCCTCAGTCATTTCTCATGGATTTCATCCATATTGAACTAGATTTCGATCTCATAAATCTCGTACCCATGTGTCAAATTCGACATAATGGGAGAGTCTTCTTTCAAAGCAATGACTTCAACAAACACCACGGATCCCATAATCAACTAGTGAAATGTCTAGGCAGAAGCTATTACTTAACAATTTGAGTCGCTGATATTACAGCCGTCATACCAATACTCCCATCTATAGCTAGCTCTCATATTCACCCAATTGACATGATTAGAGTGGAAAATTTTCTAGTACCGTAGTACTATTGAGAAATGATACTCCTTGGTTAAAATCTTATCTGAAAGTAATATGAGGTTTAATGTCATTAAAAAAGTTGTTTACGAATTTATATTGTGAACGGAGGAAACTATAATAAAATAGTAGTATCGTTAACATGAGTTTAACTCAGCTGTTAAGATACTTGCTTCTAAAAATATAATGAAATATTGTTTCTTTTGCTTCTAAAAATATTATTGTTGAAAACTAATGAAACATTATAACACTTACAAAAAACATAGTTCAATTAGGGTAAACGGCATGCAAAGATTAAACTATATACACTAGAAATCAAACTAAGAAAACAAAAATTAGGTTTAATTAATATTTTGGTCCCTTCATTTTCAACTTTTATTTGTTTTATCCCTATATTTTCAAAACATCTATTTTTATCCCTGTAATACTTTTAAAGAGTGATAATTTTAGTTTCTATTTATAAAATTTTAATGCAAATTTTATACACCAATAGAGACCTTTTAATACAAATTTATGACTATATTTTAATAAATTAGTAAGATAAAGTGTCATATTAAAATCTTCATCGAAATAAATGAGATAAAAATGAATGATTAAATTAGTCACTTCACAAAAATATAGAAACTAAAAACTAAAACGGATGTTTAAATTATATGGACCAAAATAAATAAAAATTAAAAGTATTAAGGACTAAAATAATTATTTTGAGAGGGAGTAAAATGAATGAGACGTGGAGGATCAAAATAATATTTAACCCTAAAAATTAAAATGGTAATTTAAATATACCCTTAGAAAAAGTCGGAAAAAAAAAAGAATTCCTTAAAATTAGCATTCTTTTCTTCGCTTTCACTAAGCGGAGGACTGGAGACTGGAGCACATTCAAATACAACGGAGGGAGAAAAAAAATTCGCCGGCGAGATTTGGCGGGAAAGCCGAAACCATGAGCTCGTCGGCGGTAGATTCAGAGACGCCCGATCTGGTTTGCCACCTTGACAACGTCCAAGGCCTGGTGGATGCCTTCACTGCTGTTAGATGGAAACGCCATCAGGTAACGCCCGTTCTTTCTTGTTCATTTTCCAAAGAATTTTACAGATTTTCTCTCTGCTTGCTTGTGTTGGTATCTATATTTGTTCGTTAGGTTATTGATTTACTTGTTTATTACTCAGGACGCCGTAATCGAACTATCAGAGCATGGCATCGTTTTGATCGTTGAAGAATCCGGCTGTCTTCAAGCCAAAGTGTATCTGCAGCGTGAGGTTTCGAATTTTGAGTTCGAAATTTAAATCTCCTAGTTATAGTAGCTTGCTATATTGGTGCTAATCTCAAAGTTTGGCGGCGAAAAAAAATCTTTGCTGTGCTTCCTTTTTTCACTGGTAACTGAATTTGAAAATGAAGAAAAATTATGATTAAATATGAACGAAAACTTGTTTAATTGAATTGAATATATTAAGCACTACATAGAGAAGTTGATGTTCGAAGAAGGAAATTTGTTCTTATAGTGACTGAAGTTCTGCTGCTCTTGTATATGCTACAGCTTTTCATTCGTTATGAATACAGTGCACAAGCTCGGCCAAGATTTGGAGTGAGCTTAGGCACTTTTGTTGATAGTTTGAATACGTTTTCTGTTCCTGGACGTTCAAGCACCACTGAAATCAAATACCCGGGACCTGACATGCAACTTCTAATCAAGTATATATTTGTTTTGTCTCTATTAATATACTACCACGTTTCTTTTTATATTGGCAAAAAAGCCAAGTATATGAAGCTTTCAAGTATCCTGATGTTAATTTAATTTGACTGCTGGTAAAGATAAGTGTTGAGAATTTGTTTCTGGTTTCCAGACTTGCTACATGGGCGACGAAACGAACATCTTAGGTTCACCTAAATTTTTATGTTCTATCAACTTGTTAAACCCTTTTAGGATAACTTGAGAAGCTGGAGAAACCAATATAAATGAACCAATGAGAATTATATTCAGTTCATTATACCATGATGGAAGGATGCACTTCAGTTTTTATGCAGACCAAAGAGAGTAAATACAGTTCACATATGTTAAAATAAAATACAACACTAACCATATCTAGAATCTTCTTGAGATATCTACACAAAAATAGTTATCTCTAGATTTATTTTGAAGATCGGAAATAAATATGTAAAGAAAAGACTCTGGAAGTATCTTAACTTTTCCCGCTCCAAGGAATTCTAGAGAGTTCCTTTGGATAAGAATAGATTAAGAAGGATATAGAATATGTAAGATTTAAGAGGAGCCTAGAAAGATCTTGATGTTAAACATTTCAAACAGCTAAGACTGGCCAAGAAAATATTGATTGCCAACCCCACATCTAACTCTTCATCCACTGGAATGGAACAATGATTCACGAGCTCGGCGGCCTTTTGCTTTAGTTCTTCGGGCTGAGCCTCAAAAAGCTTTATTTGTCGTTCCACCCCGTAATACTCCTTGGAACACATTAACTGGCGAAAGGTCTCCCTTTCCTGTTCACTAAACATTTCTCTGAGGTTGGCTCTTCTAAAAAAAAGGTAAAAGAAAAAGAATAATATTTGGATTCTATGGACCCCTTGGGCTCTCATTTCAACTTTTTTTTTTATTGGAATTCCTTGAGGTCAATATTAGCAATGCAGTTCATCCAATGAAAAACCTATTTTGCTTGGGCTCTAAAGACCCTTCTCCTAGAAATAGAAGAGATGTCTCCATAGTGAATCAATCAAGTGAAGTGAGGGAAGAAAGTGAGGAAGGTTAGTATACTTTCCTAATAAAAGTTTCCTTCTTCAAGCAATTGTCTCTTTCTTTTTGTACTAATTTCTTCTAGAAGTGGTATGAGAGCTGCGCTAATTTAATTGTCTCTTTATCTAAAAAAAAAGAGCTGCGCTAATTTATTCAACAACTTATATGTTTGTTTTCCTTTCAACAGCTCTAAAAATGGTAATAGTTTCTTCTGGGGTTTACGATCAGGTCAGTCGATTCATTAGATGCGTGCATTTATGCGGAGATCAGAACCAGAATCCCAGAGACAATCTCGTGGGATTACATTTTTGAACCTGCAGGAAGCAGTCCACTCAGTTTCACTGTCAAGGTATGTTCATATTGTAATTAACTTTGATGTCTATGGTTTTATCATTTATGTGGATATCAGAAAAATTTAGAGGTACATTGGAAACTTATTTACAAGTTATGTATTGTTAAGTTGCATCAATGTCGCTCATGTTCTTTTAGCAGATACGATAATTTCACATTTGAAATCTTTTAGATGTTCCAAAAGATGATATCTGATATAGTTATAGTAAGGTTTTCCCTCGTCCAACGCAAATAGTATTTTGTCTCTATCCCGAAGACTTCAATCTGAGAGTAGATCTTTGCAAAAGAGAGAGAATCTGAGTATGTGTGCTGACGTGTTAGTGCAAGTATTATTCGAGCTGGGAAGAGTAGGTAAGTGGATATTATGTGACAAAATAGTATTGTGAAGACCGAAATAATTATTTTTAGAAAGTTCAAGGGCGGGAATAAAACAAACCTAAAAATTCATAGGCCAAAATAGACATTTTGAAGGTTCAAAAACCAAAATATAACAAATCTGGAAGTTTAGGACCAAATCAGATTTAAACCTATATTTCCTATATCTTTTCCACCTATACTTTAACTATTGAAGGAAAGGTAAAAAGATGACGGGATGAAGCATGTGAATCTGAATATCGTATTACAGATCATCAAATAAAATGAGATTAAATATTATTAGTGATTAATTTCAATCAAAATAAAGCTTGTAGTTTTTATACCAGTCTGCAGCTCTGAAGGAAGCTATTGATGATCTTGAATGGCCTGGATCAAGCATCCAGATAGTTCTCGAACCGGCTCCCCCTTCTGTCACCTTCAAAGGCGAAGGCCATGGAGACTTGCAGGCATGGTTTGTCATAAGCAAGCTGAAATGTGAAATCCTTGTAACATTGTGACAATGCCAATCCAACCTATCCTCATTTCCCTTGCAGGTAGATTTCATGTACTATGCAAACACTGATCTTCTGATCTCGTTCCATTGCGATCGTCGGGTATCATACAGGTAGCATGCTTCCTCCATAAAGTTAAACACATCAAATCCTAGCACATACTTCACTTCCCTGCAATTTTCGGTTTCGATTTGTTGTTCGATGCACCAGGTACAAGTACAAATTTCTACGAGCGACGACTTCCAACATACCGAGCAGCGTGATTAGAGAAAACAGGGGAAGCAAGTTGACTATTGGGAGAGGAGGAATGCTAAAAGTTCAGCACTTGGTTTCTGTGGCAAGACCATCCACTTCGCATATAGATTCTGCTGGTTATCAGCAACCCAGCAGAATTGCTTTCATTGAGTTTTTTGTGAAACCAGAGGAGGACACCACAAATGATTAATGGACTTTTCCAGATATTTCGCCATCCATGACTGCTCTTTCTGGTATCAGCAATGAACCTCACATTCCTAGAGGACCTCTGTAAACTCAGCACTATTTAATGGCAGAAAGCAATCAGATTCGTGCAGGCTTCTCTTTTTTCAACAATGCATACATGTTACTGTAAGTTTGAGTTGTTGCTTGATCAACTCATATTTCCAAGAGTGTAATCCCTCAACCACTAAACGAACATTTTGCTTGTACTTCCAAAAGAAAAAAAAAAGGGAACATTATGTTATTAATAGTTTTTTTCCCCTTTTTTAAATTTCTAAGAATATAGGATTTTTCATTTGACATTTCATTATGTTCTCGTTTTCCAAACTTGGAGGTAAGCTTTTCTAATCTTATCATCTAACCATAAATAGAACATAAAGTTGTCTAATGTTTTAAGAAAAATTGCAAAGGCATGTTTAAATTATTGGATTAAAAATTGATTAAATTGGATAGGTTTGATAACTATTTCATTTTTAGTTTCTATTTTAAAAAAATATAACAAAATTAAAAAATTAAACCTAGAAATACTCCTTCAACCTATTTAATTTTTGTTTTGTTAGCTACTTTTTAAAACTGTTTTCAAAATTAAGTCAAAATTTAATAATTAAAAAATATATAGTTTTTTAAAACTTATTTTTGTTTTTGAAATTTAACTAAAAATTAATTGTGTTTTAGGAAGGTAAAAAATATAGAAATGGTGAAAAATCAAGCATAAATTTTAAAAACATAAAATAAAAGCAAACAGGCTTTAACTTTTAATGGTCAGGAATTACACTTCCAAACTCATACAATAGTTATAATTAAACTGTATATTATAACTTAGTGTTAAAATTTCAATTACATCAATTTCTTTGTTTTCCGATCACCTAAAGGGAGAAAAGAAAATATCTTGCTAAGAGAATTGCAAGGATGAGCTACTCTGAAAACTCATCCTCAGTTAAAGATCGCAGGCTCAGTTCAAATCGTAAGCTGCAACTCGCTCCATGAAGTCAGAATTGCCGTGGCACCATTAAAAGTTGGGAAGATTTATATATAACAACTTCTATGGCTCAAGGTAGTTTCTGCATTTAAAGAAGAAAGAATTTTGGATTGGAAAAAATAAGGAAATTCCTTCACAATGGATTTCTTGCTTTTGTAGTCTCGTTGGCCATGTAGAACAAGACCATTCCAATCTCAAACTGCATTATGGATTGAAGGTCAAACTTCTACACGTCTCTACTCGAGTCACATTGAATTAGCATCACGTGGACTGGGACATAACACAACATACCTCTTCTTTGAATCTTATTGACTCAAATTATATGGCGTAACCATCAACCTCCTCTCAAACAACCTTTTCTGACTCACATAACCACTTGATTCGAGCAAACTAATGTTCTTCATCCGAGCAACTGAAAAGGTCTCCAACCAACATGATATCGGTGGGCAACTGCCCCTGGCGCAAGCTCTATAACAGAACACTTGTTCGGATAACCTCTTCCTAATTCACATTGGGCTAACGGTCTTCCATCCTTCAGAGAGCAGTTGAGACACCAGAAAATCAGCAAGCTAGCCCAAAGTAGGAACCATGAAGAGGCTCTGTTCATGGCTACCCTGGTTCTCTCAGCCAATCTATCCCACTATACCAGTCGTTAAATGAGATCATACACAGAAAAGTAACACTCACTTCCATGCCCCAAAGTTAACAGATTGCAATGAAATGTGACCCAGATACAAATCCTTCAAATGTTGCTTGCATAAGCCAACTCGCCGTCGATTCAAGCTAGGATGGATGGAACTCGAGAATCCAGTTTTCCATCCTGGAAATTTTTGCCTCTCCATGACATGAAGAGTATAAACACTTGGTGCAGAAGCCAAACACCCCATGACAAAACAATTGCAAGGACGAGACTGGCTGACCATTCTAGCAAGAGATAGCAAACACAAGCCACTATATGAAATTCCATATGTCGATGCCTCATCATGGCCTAAACCATGAGTATCTGATGCCTCCTCCTCTTCTTCTTGCTCTATTTCAGGGGTAGAGCAAATCCTACTCAGTTCTAAGTCAAACTTCTTTTCAATTTCACTTTCATGCGTACGATGCTTTGCTGCTAGTGTTCGGATACAGGATTTCCTAACTTGATCACAAATTAAGATCACCTCGCTAAAGTTTGAACAATTGCTATACCATTTAAGCCAACGACGATATACTCCTAAAAACCAGTCGATAATTTGAGTGTTATCATGTAGGATGAGGAAAGGAGAGGCACACGGATACCCTTTATTTGTGATTAGCCTATATCTCAATAGTCGTTTCCTGATAGAATTCACTGGAGCAATAATCTCAGTTATGAAAGTAGATTTGACAGAAGGGTCATAATTTGGTAAAAGAGCAACAGTAGAAGCTGTCTCGGAAGAAACATATTCTTCCACACGCCTTTGAAATTCATAAAAGGAGTCTCTAAGTTCCAGAGGAAGAGAAGGTTCCACTACATAATTAGATAAGATAGTTTCTTCAGTCTCTGCAGCCTTTGCGTTTATATCTTGCATCCAAATTTTCAATAAAACTTTGTACCAGTGGTCGGTTTCCATCCCAACTTTACGAAAACTGGAAATTTGATTTAAAGAAGGGCTATTTTTAGCCAAATGCTTGATCTCTGACTCTTTCACCTTCTTCAAACCATGAGCAAGCCATTTCTTCCCCAACCACACTGTCCAATCATTCCAAGCCTCCTGCTTCTGTAAAGCAAATAACTCAACTTTTTCTTTCAACTTGTGGACAGCTTTTACAGCAGGACTTTCCTTCTCACTTCTTCTAACCAAACAACCAAGAAAACGAATTCCACGAGTCTCCCTACATGATACCATTTCTTCTTGATGATTAACATCCAAATGCAAAGACTTCTGAATGAAATCCTGAATCTCAGACCTAAAACTAAGAGCCACATCTTTGGAACCTGAAACTGCCATAAAAATTTCATCCATATAGCGACAACAGTATACTCTTATGTTATCTTTCTCCTGGGCTGGATATTCAGAATCATTTCCTTTCAATTTTCTTCTAAACCAGCTCCGCAGCTTTGATTGGGACCCATCTTGAACAGCATTACCATATTTATTGATAGCTTCATATTTCATAGATAATCTGAAAAATTCTTGGTCAAAGAGGTTTAGATAGATGTTCATTAATATAGGAGACAGAACTCCCTCTTGTGGAAGACCATGACCTTTTGGGAAACCCCCGAACTCCAAATTCAGTGCCCCCGCCTCAAATATACTTCTGATGATAGCAAAAAATTCGGGGTCTTCTATCTTGTCCTCCATTACTGAAATGAGTTTAGCCATCTCAAGCTCATCCATCTTTTTGCTTATGTCAACTGTGAACCACCAGTCAGGATTATTGATCTCTTTTCTGATGTACTTCAATGCTGTTGAGTGCCCTCTTCCACTTCGGCAGCCATGAGATATCTTGGAAAAATGTGGCCTAAAAACACACTCCAAAACTATCCTAATAGCCTCCTGAAGAACCTTCAACTTTAGCTTGGGTAAGATGAGTACTTCTTTTTTCGAACTTGATATGGAGAAAGTATTGGCGTTGACATCGAAACTACCATTATGAAGTTCTTCAGCCATAGATTCAAATGAAATTAAATGATCATTCGATGCTATATCTACATTTGAGTTAATTCTAACACAATCATAGGCATTCTGAAGAGTTGGGGGGCAGGCAATCACTTTCCCCATCAAGTCCATAAACTTCCCATTCACATATTGCGCCTTCACCCTCTTCTTAATCTGGATTTCAAGGGATCTCTTGAGTTCCATTCGACTCTTTGGTCTTCTTGAATCAACATCCAGAGATTCTTCAACAAGCGAGGCCAAGTTCTCAGCCAATTTCTTTTTCTCCATTCCCTTGCAAAAATCATCATCAGCACATGCCAGAGCTGAATAATTTTCAGAAGTCTGAACTCTCTGAACACATTTACCTGCTATAAACAATTAAGGTTCAAAAGCAGTCGCGTGAAAGTAACATATTTTCCACACGTTAATGGAATAATTACAAATGAAATGCTTGAGTTTACAAACTTTGAAGTGATTATTCAACAAACAAAATTACTGAAACTTCTATATTCAGATAAACTTCAAATTTTCAATGTTTGGAATTTCTTGAGGCTTTTTTCCCCCTTTTGGAAGGAGCAGGGATTGGGAAGGTTCAATAATGATAATTATCTTGTAAAACTGTGAAAGTAGAGATCAGTTGCAGAAAAGATAAGGCTTTTCAAAAGGTTCTTCAACATATTTTATCAAATTCTGAACATCCTACAGAAATAAATCAAATATTTCGTAATATGAACATTGTTAAATAAATTATAACATCACTAGGGAGCAGCAGAGCAGATTGGAATTTTACCAATGTCAGACACAAAGGATGAATTGACTTTGCAAATTCGCAAAACTGCAAAGTTCCGCATATTCATCCGGCAAAATCTTTGAAATCCCCCAAATTGCATTTCTCGTATATCTGTAAAGAACATTCAGAGTAAGTTAGAAATTGCTGCGTTAACCTCAGTTACTTCAGTTCTGACTTCAGTTCTTATCAGACGAGAATGATGAAATCTCTCGTAATAACACAGATATTCCCGTAGTAAAACCTCCACCATCTGAAAACACCAGAGTTTAATAACTCCATAAACATGTCATGGATGAAAGAATAACAGTCAAAATAGCACATGAAGTGTTAAGATATCAAATTGCTAACTGAGGCATTTTAACGAACAGATGGTGTGCATCTTCGAAAAATAAATGCCAAACTAGAAACTGCTACTACAAATTCGGAATTCGAGTTAAACAGAGACATTATAACGAAATAATGGTGTACTTTAAGAAATCCACTTCCGACGAAGTCCCGTTACGGTTCGTGGGAAAATTGCAAAATCCATCCCTCAATTAAGGGTTTGTGAGGTACCACCCTCAACTTTTTGAATCTACTACCAATATTTGTAACGTAATTTTCCAAAGAAAAAATAAGGAAAATGTGTAAATTGTAATACTCATAGTTTGGGGCTAGTTCTTGTAATTTTATATTTAATTAATTAGATGAAAAATATACATATAAATATGTAAAAAACTTTCAGTAGAGGTGGGGGAGGGAATTCAAACTTACAAGCTCTTGATTGGAGTTGAGCTATACTCGCTTTTACAAATATCTTAAGACTTGAATGATCATTACCTAAATTTAAAAAATCTTGAATTTGATTCTAGTTACTTATAGAATTTCTATCTAATTGTCATATATCTACAATCAAGAGATTATGAGTTCGATCTTTACCCACTTAATATTCATTTTATGGTGTCGTGTTGAGGCGATAATCGCACATTCTTGATAGCTCATATTTACCACAGTGGAGTATTTCTCAAATTTGTCCTCTACTTTTAGTTTCCCTGCATTTTCATTCTATAAAGTTATATACTGGTATTTGTCCACCAATTATTAAGCAAGAGTTAAATCTAAAAAAGTTATATATAAACACGTCTTAATTTTCTTCTTTTGCAACTATTTTTCTTTTTCCTTTTGTAATTATATTTTTTTTATTGTTCATGTTTGGATTGGCCAATAAACTCATTTTTATTAGAAAAGTAACATGTTTATTAAATCACAATATTACATTTAATATTATTTATGGGGTGAGGTTATATAGTACTTGGTGATGCATGGATTTTGACCCTCCGGCTCTTCTTCTAGCACACACATAACTCGATAATAAGGAAACCGATACCTGCAAAATCAAATCGATCTAAACCGGTGTGACCTTAGTTACACGGGAGTTGAGAAAATAGTTAGCTAGGGATAAGTCACTTACCTCCTCAAGGTTGGATCTTACTGCTACTTATAGCCGTAGCCAAACCCTAATTCAGCGTTGCCGATCCAGAGGGATTGTTGATCGCAGGCGGGAGATTCACGGGCTGGGCCGTGAGCCAACCAGGGGTCAGGACCTTCTTCGTCGGTCACTTTTCTCGTTCTCTGCCTCGGCACTAGGTCGTTCTTTGGGCCGGCCCGTTACGTAGCGGGCCGGTCTCCCCCAATCAATGATCTCAGACTTCAACTCCTTTTCCATTTCGGGTCGTTTAACAGTACTCAATTTCATGACTATATGAAGATATATTAATAGTGTTATACTACTTTTAACAATTCGTTTCATTAAAACTATAATTAAATCAACTAAAAATATATATTACACGCATAATATAACTAGGGTGTATATATAATTGTGTGTGTGTATATAATTTTTTATATGAAATAGGGAGGTTTAAATACTATTTCTTCTACCGTATTTTATGTTGGTTCATGTAATCAAAATTTGATTCTTTTGGGATAAGAGATCGAGCTCACAACCTCTTAGTTCGAGATATATGTCAATTACTATTGAGCTATTGATTCATTTTTTGTCCAACTATTTTTTAATAAGTTTTTTTTATCTTTGTATTTTCAAATTTTATTAATTTTAGCCATTCTATTTTCAATATGTTCGGTATTATATCTTTAAAAAGTTACTAATTTGATCTCCATTTACACAAATTTTAGACTAGGCAAGTATGGTTACTTTTCAAGAAATTTTGGTGTAATTTGATAATCATTTTGTTTTTAATTGTCAGTTTTTTAAAACGTGCTTGTTTTTGTACCATTTCAAAAAACATATTTGATTTTTTAGTCAAATTTAAAAAACAAAACAAGTTATTAAAAACCACTTTTCTAATTTTCAAAATGGATTTAAATTTTCAAATCTAAGTGGAATTTTGAAAATTAGAAAACTATATAACATGACAAAAAAGCACCTACGTGAAATTAATATTTCTAAGTTTAATTCTTTTAAAACAAAAAAAATTTAAAATGAAATGGTTATCAAATGAGACCTTAGTGAGGAAAGTATCATGCTAAAATTATAATCGAAAAATAAATAAGAAAAAATGAAAAATGAAGGATATCAACCTAGGCCTAACTCAATTAGTGAAGACATTTATCTTCAACCAAAATATCGCTATCAACTATCGATGAGTTAAGTTCAGTTTACTCACAACTTTTTATTATTATTATTATTATTAAGTTGTTAGTGACAACTTTTTATTCTTTTGGAATACAACATAAATTTGATATTTCTTAATGTATTTTCTATGAAGTTTGATTTGGACTATGCTTTTGTTTTTTAAGTAAAAATTAAAACTTTATGATTTCATGCTATTTCCGTAAATACTTCAAAATAATTTTCTATTTTTGGTCGGAGCAATTTAACTTGAGGAACTATGTAGAAGCGTCTTCACAAACAATTAAAACACGAAAAAGAAAAAGAAATTAAAAAGAAAACAGGGAGAGATTGATGGAGCATAAAACGGGTCATCATTTACGTATAACCTCCAATAAAACCCCACCACCTGTACATCCGAAGGAAATCAACGGCAAGGATCGCCCCAACGCTCCACGCAATATTATTGGTTGCAAACACGTTACACGAAATTCTATTGGTCCACGTCATCATCAGTGACATGGTCCTGCGCAAAACGTAGAGGTCGTGGCATATCAGAACTTGGCTTGATCTCACTATAAAACTAGACCTCGCGAAATTTCACTTCCCAAATTCTCAACCAAAAAACGTACCCGAAAATTCCTTCTTCTTCTTCTTCTATACTAACTCAACTTTCAGAGAACTTCTCTGTAGTTTCCGACGCCGGAGGAGAGCGAAGATCAACGCCATGGCTGGCTCCTGGAGAGCTCGTGGGTCTCTGATCGTGCTGGCAATTGTTTTCTTCGGTAATGTTTTTTCTTCTAATGGATTAGATCTGGGTTGATGTTGTTTGTTTGGTTTATGGAACTCTTTAGATCTGCGTGATGTGGGTTCTGGTTTTGAGACGTTTTAATGTTGTAGGAGGTCGTAGCGTGTAAATCTTAAGCGTGGTTTTTTTAGAATACTGTAATGGATAATGCTAGTTTTGAGGTGGTGTTTGTTATGGAGATTTAGTCGTGGATCGAAGAGGGCTTTCTTGGCATTTTTTGAGTTGGTTAGTTTTAGGATGGACAATGGTGGCTCTATAGATCTTGTTTTCTGTCTTTTCACGATGGCTGTGAGATTCAATGCGATCTACTGGGCATTTGTGTGTTTTATTCTGGGTTAAAAAGCCTTGGAAAAGTTTTTTCTTTGTATTCTATCTCTATCTCTTCCCTTTGGTTGTTGATTAGGGCATCGAGTGAGCGTGCTTAATCTGAAAACTTTGTTGTTGTGGAATCAATATTAGTGATGGTACTTCATAGATGTGAGCATTACTTTTTATAATGTCTATACGCAAACGAAATGTTAGGATAAACAAGATTGGGCATTTCATCGCCCGTTTAGGCTTTGTAAAATTACATATTTCCGGATTATTATTTTTTTATCTTAGAGTGTAGTCTGTGGGTTATATTCATCGAACCAACGGTTAGAAATTGTCTAGTTAAACGAAAGAAAACATTGGAAAGCATTTGGTTTTATCTTTGGGAAGAATGCATGGGTATATTAGTATTAACCTTGCGGAAGTTGAATTGCAGGATGCCTGTTCGCAATTTCCATTGCGAAAGAGGAAGCAACGAAATTGGGGACTGTCATTGGGATAGACTTGGGCACAACTTATTCTTGTGTTGGAGTCTACAAGAATGGACATGTAGAAATTATAGCCAATGACCAAGGAAATCGTATTACCCCTTCTTGGGTCGCTTTCACTGATAGTGAGAGATTGATCGGTGAGGCTGCGAAGAATCAAGCAGCTGTCAACCCCGAGAGGACAATCTTTGATGTCAAGAGACTTATTGGTAGAAAGTATGCATCAGTCTCTCAACTTCTTGATGATCTAAGAGGGACAACGAATCGATTATTCAAACAGGTTGTCTGATCAAATTTGTCCTTTTTAAACAGGTTTGACGATAAAGAGGTTCAGAAGGACATGAAACTCGTTCCTTATAAGATTGTGAATAAGGATGGAAAGCCCTACATTCAAGTGAAGATCAAGGATGGTGAGACCAAGGTGTTCAGCCCTGAGGAGATCAGTGCTATGGTTCTCACAAAGATGAAGGAAACAGCCGAAGCATTCCTCGGCAAGAAAATCAAGGACGCCGTTGTCACAGTTCCAGGTGAGAGACGATATAATGCTTATCATTATTCAATCAAATAGCTCTCTCGATGTTTTCCGTTTCTTGTCTGCTAACTGAGTTTTGTTATTTTTTTGTGTAGCTTACTTCAATGATGCCCAAAGGCAAGCAACCAAGGATGCCGGTATTATTGCTGGCCTCAACGTTGCCAGGATCATCAATGAGCCCACCGCGGCTGCCATTGCGTATGGTTTGGACAAGAAAGGTGGCGAGAAGAATATCCTTGTTTTTGACCTTGGTGGTGGAACTTTTGATGTCAGTATCTTGACCATTGACAATGGTGTTTTTGAGGTTCTTGCCACAAACGGAGACACTCACTTGGGAGGTAAGAATTTATTGATGATTTAATATTTTTATGGTTGTTTTCATAATATTGTTTTCAAGAAACTAATGGAATATTTTTTGAAAAACCATCCTAGGTTGTTCTTTCTTTATAGAAACTGTTTCCGTGGAATCTTTTGCTTTTCTTAAATTCTTTTATTTAAACAGGTTAGAAATTAGAGTTACTCGCCGCCTGAAGTTTTTATGCATCATCATGCATGAATAAACTACTTTAAGAAAGAGCGACAAAAGGAAGTTGAAGTTTTGGGTACTGTTTTAAATACTTCTCAACCAAATTTAGTCATAAATGGATTACACTGTTAAGAGAAGTAAAGGGTTGTTTATTAGGCTCCAAGATTTTCATCTCTCATGTATAATAATAGGAATAACTTTGCCCGAACAAATTGCTTGAAATTGTTGTATGGAAGTCTCTGTTAAAAAGAAGTTGGACTAGAAAGAAATTT